TTGAACCTGCACATTTGCTATAACTTCAAAACGAGTCTGAATCAAAGAATTGAACAAAATTTGATAAACTGAAGGATGGACAAACAGAGGGATGCACAAAAAATAAAGTGTTCCAATAAACCTGTGACTATTACTGTATTACTTAATATTTGTATACTGTATACTTTAACATCAACCATGCTGCAGATGGCAACATTCAGTCATTTGGACCTGTAACGGTGGCGTGGGCATTCCACAAATAGCTTTTATTGCAAAGACAGCAATAAATAAAGGGGAAGAGCTATTTTATAGCTATAATGACGAGATAGGTAAAAATTGTACCATTATTTTGTGTTTAAAACAGTAAGATATATGAGCTTTAATAAATTAAGAACGAATGGATGGACTGGATTTGGACTGGACCTGATCTGGACACGGACCTGAACTTGAACTGGATTGACTGGACTGGATTTGGACTGGACTGGACTTGGACTGGACCTGACCTGGACTTGACTTGGACTGGACCTGACCTGGGCCTGGAACTTGATTTGACCTGGATTGTTATTTTATATTTTCAATATTTTTCAGTACTCTGACTCTCTATCAGGATATCATCAGATATCATCATATCAATTTTTTCGAAATTTTAAAATGACATAACTCCTGAACCCAAATTTGGATTTTAATTCTGTTTTCAGATTTGGAATCCTGAGAAAATTTCATATAAGACTGGTACTATACTCCGGGTATTGTTCGCTTTCAATTTAAATTTGCTTTGTTTGTGATCTTGGTAAAATCATGCACATTTATCGTCGCGAATGTGTGTTTTAAATCCCCGGCAATTTGTCAAATTAGCATTTTCTCGGTACTTTGATATATAGGCCTATATATATGTATACAATATATTTTGTTTTATATATTTCGTTCTGTTTTTCATTTAGTTTTATTGCGCAATATTTAATAAAATAAAAAGGGCCAAAAAGGGGTATTTTATTTTGAGTTTGCTTATTTGGCCATTACTCAAATCTGCGAAATTTAAAATTTAAAAAATAATAAATCAAAAGACCATTGTGCAATTATAGATGGAAAAATATATTCATATATTCATAACTCCACCAACTTGTATTTCTTCAAGTCTTTCACTGTTAGAATAATTGATTTAATGAAAACATTTAACAATGTGAATTAAAGTAGAGTGACATTCTTTAAATAACTTGTTATTCTTTGCAGAATATGAAACTATTGGTCTTGGAAGTTGAGAAGAGAACAACAAAAAGATGTCCTGAATTTCTGCACATTATTGGACTCGACAAAGACACCAAGAGTAGAAAAGATATTACAGTCTTCCACAACAAAGATCTATTTAAAAAGGATGCATTCTTGCCTTTAAAAAATTTTACGACATTATATAGTCTACTAGATAACTAGATAACAGCAACAACAGTGTACCCCTCTCAGAATCACAACACATTGTACAAGGTAGTTTTGCATCAGGTGTAGTCCACTGTCAAATATATTCTAAACAAGGAACTCTTGCATTAATCCCTGTATTATTCCACTAACAACAAAACAACCTAGTCTAACCTAAAGGCCTTGTTTACCCCTATTAGAACACATTATACAATGTAGTCTTGCATCAGGTCCTTGTGTAGTCTACTGTCAAATATATTCTAAACAAGGAAATCTTGCATCAATCCCTGTATAACTCCAATAAACAAAAAAACAACCTAGTCTAACCTCAAGGCCTTGTTTACCCCTCTCACAACACATTATACAATGTAGTCTCTCACATTGTCACAACACAATAAATAAACAATGTAGCCTTGCATCAAGCCCTTGTGTAGTTCACTGTGCAATATATCCTTAACAAGGAAGTCTTGCATTGGGATAATAAACAATATGTACACCACTGTCATTCCAGGTCCCTGTGAAGAAGAAAAAGATCGCTGAAGTGACGTCTTTAGTGATGAAAAGTGAAATAATGAAAAAAATCCTAAACAATGCCCAAAATGTGTGGAGTTTAGAACTTGTTTAAAGAGACATTACCGCCAAAAGCACACAGAAGAATTTAAACATACATTTGAAAATGACAATTTGTTTCTGCAAAAGAATGAGAACAGAGGCAACAGAGATATTAGGCATTTTAAAGAATGCCCTGTCGAATAGTGCTCCTGAAGAATCACAAAAGTAAACAAGCATTTGTCAACATACCACAAACCTCAAAAAGACTCAGACCTCTACCAAAATTTCATTACAAAAAATGTTTCCATAATATCTATCACAAATGGACAGCCACCTGTGAGTGCAAAATCCCCCTTATACAAATTTACTGGCTATCACAGCCCACTGTCAAAGCGCTACGAGAGCGCTGTCACAGAGCTGGGAGAGAGCTGGGAGAGCGCTGTCACAGCGCTGCGACAGCACATTGGAATGTACCATGCAAATGATGCTGCAGCAATGCTGCCAGACATTCTCTCATAGCCTTGCCATATATGGCAATGAATTCTACAAGCTTCAGTATACCATTTAGGAAATCAATTATAGTTTTGTGTATCCCAAAAAACCACAGCAACTTCAATGCCAAAATATTCATTATTATTCTTCTACTCCAGAATATACACCTATATTAATGAAATTAAGATATTGTGAATAATCATGAATATACTTGAAACTAAGGTACCTGTGCAAGATCAGGATTAATTTTGTTTTTCATACCATTGCACACCAGCAGTATGGTGTGACCTAGTGTTAGAGAGCAGGGGTTTCATATCTTAATCCTTTCACTCCAAGTCACACCATGATTGTGGTGTGACTTGGTGTTAGATGGTATAAAAATATTTTTCATACCAAGTAACACCAGAAATGTCCCATTCACACCATATCCTGATTACTAGTGTATATGAGTTATAACATTACTTTGATAAATTTTTAATTTTAATGCATTCCTATTCACATTGTGTAAAATTGCCGTTAATGTTTTTTTTATAAAACTTTGGCAATCAGTTGCATGTCTATTATTGTGATTGCCAAACTAAAGGAATAAATTTATGTATAATAAAAAAATAAATAAAAATGACGGTTCAAAACCTGTAATAATTACACCCGAGGTCCAACCAATGGTCCAGAATGAACCAGATGCCAGTCCAGCGAAGGATAACTCCTGGAGGCCATGGTAGAGACAAATTTCAATTAAAATAAAATTAAATATTCTCACATTACACATTTTGACCTAGGGACAGTATTTATTACGAAGTACGCATAAACATTAGCTTTTTCTCATCAAAAATAAAAACCTCTCTATTTTACATTTTCAAACCACTGTGTTTCACATTCTTAAACACCCAACATCCGCCAAGGGAGATTTCCACCAACCAAACAATGCCTGGTTTTATTTTTATTAGCATCAAAAATCACAGACACATCTGGCAGAAGGTGGCAAGCGCATTCTATCCATCAGATAAGAGTCTCAGGGGTATGTAGGCAAATTAAGTTTGGTAGTATAGAGGAAGGAAGAGGAAAGTAGAGGAAGGAAGAGGAAAGTAGAGGAAGGAAGAGGAAGGAAGAGGAAGGAAGAGGAAAGTAGAGGAAGGAAGAGGAAAGTAGAGGAAGGAAGAGGAAAGTAGAGGAAACAAAAAGGAAGTGGGAAAAGAAAGATTATGTTTCACCAAGTAAGTAAATCAACACTGTACAGGAGATTTGCGCAAACGGTCCACACTTGATGTTTACTTTGCATTCTTTGTAACAAATGGCAGTGGTGACATTTTGCATATTGATTGCTTGTTAATGTATAAGCTAGAAACGGTTACAGAATGTGGAATGGTTGGCTGTGGGGGTGGTTTGGAGGCTTTTTAAAGTTAATATTACACATCATTGTTGTAAAACATTGCAGCGAAATCTTACATATACATGAAGATATGCCATTTTGACTTTGGAATTATCTGCAAATCTCTGGAATTTATTTTTCAATTTTGTGTGGCCACCCTGAGTGATAAGAAAATTATGTGAATAATGTCAAAGTGTAGTCTTATTATACAAGTTTCCATAAAAGTATTAAAGGATCAATCCATCAATGAAATTGAAAAAAGACCAGACTGATTCATGTATTCAGTCTTTTTGTGATAATACAAAGTAGAAAGTACTATTGATTTGATTAATTGTTATTACAGGTGAATTATGGTAAACATTTATTAATATACAATATAAATTTATTTCCAGGAGCAAGATCACCTAGTTACAGGAAGGACATGGCAACTGGAACAAGGAGGTTTTCAAGATGAAATATAACTGTGTTTGATCTTTAAAAAACTATTAAAGTAAAGACCAATTGAGACTACACATTGCGTTTGGTTTATTTTCTGGAAATGTGTTACTTTTGGCCATTTGTCGTGACACTGATGGAAATACTTAAAAAAAGAAGAGGAAAAGAGGAATGGCTACAAAAAGTAGACTTACTGTGCATTTGAAAAAAACTGCTATCAACACTCACTTTTATTAAGAAAGTGAAACTCATTCACATCTCATCTCACACATTGACATAAACAGAGCAGAAGGAAATGGGAACAAACTAAGGACTTCTAGGATTCACAGTAACTTAAACAGAAAAGAGTAGACAATTAGCACGACTCCGATCTGGAACTCTTTACACATTTGTATAAATGGGAAGTTATACTAAACCAAACACACCATTGTTGCAAAAACCTGTACAAGTGTTTAAATAAATAACAGTTGAAGAAGAGAATAATATTTGAGTTTCAGGGCTATTGGGGCTTTGTTTTCTAATTACAATTAGTAAATAGTTATTAAGGCTTTTATAGGGGCCATAATGAAGGAAACATTTAATCTCAATCCCCTCAACAGAATTTCTGTTCGATTTTCAGGTAATGAAATTGAAAGAATTGATTTTTTACAATTTTCAAGATTTGAAAATTAAATGATAAATGTATCTAGGAAAATGTAAGTTAATTTCACTTGGTATAATACATCTGTGCAATGCTGAAAACGGTTCAACAAAAAAAATCATTGTGATAAAACAAAGTGCAACAAGTTTAGAATCACTGCCAATATTTTGATAATTCTGGAGTTTTAAATGATTTTGACAAGTAATCTACGCCTCTATTGTCTTTGTGAACGATGGCTACAGCATATGACGCCATAGACAGGTCAAAAAGGAAGGCAGACTGTGAGAATTCGGCCAGCAAAGTGGGTAAAAAAACTTGTGTTAAAAAGTCGCAATTCAACATGGGGGACAACATACCTGCACGCATGAATGCCGAGCCAAATGCTATGTGCAGTAAGGACTCTGATAACGCTGTCTTATCGCTTTTAACGAAATTAGTCGCTGATCACCTGAAGATTAGTGATAAATTGGACAGTATGCAAACGGATATGATACAAAGGGAAGAACGGATAATGGCTAAGATTGATGTGAAACTGGAGAATACAAAGGATATTATGAAACAGGAAATTACCAAGGTAAACCAAAATTTACAGTCTCAAATTGATAGTGTGTCAGAAGACATGAACAATCTTAAAGACTCAATAAACTTATGTAAAATAGTGAAGAATATTCCTCAGTCAGAAAATGAAGATTGTATAGCCAAGGTGAATGAGTTTCTAAATGTTGGAGTGAAAACGAAGGCAAAGGTTAAAAGGGCTTAACGATTCCAGAAAAGACAAGGGTCAAGATACCCTGGTATTATTGTTGCTGAAGTGTGCGAATCTGATAGGACGGATATTTTTAAAAAGAAATCTGCTTTGAAGCAGTCGGCGGTCTACTCAAACATCTATGTAAATGACTTTGTATCGAATGAGACCCAAAAAATGAACACAAACCTGCAAACAATTTTACAAGCTGTAGGTAAACAGCAGGATTTTACCCTTGTGAATGGCAGGCTTTTAACGAAAACCCCAAGGAGCGTACCAACACACAACCCGGTGGTTAACAATGGAATTGCCCCCACTATTAACCAGGAATAGGGGCGTCTGACCGCAGGATTTTGGAACGTGCGAGGAATACCAAAATCCAACGATCACAATAAGTTTAATAAATAATAAGTTTAACTAGATTGGTAAATTGAACAAAGTTCAATTTAAGACTCCAGATTGATTTACTTGAGTAAAGAGCTGAGTAAGTAACTGAGTAGGAAGCTGAGTAAGTAGATGATTAAGTAATTGAGTAAGTAGCTGAGTAGGTAGCTGAGTAAGCAGCTGAGCAGGTTGCTGAGCAAGTAGCTGAGTAGGTAGCTGAGTAAGTAGCTGAGTAGGTAGCTAAGTAGGTAGCCGAGTAGGTAAGTAGGTAGGTAAGTAGGAATTTTTGACCGGAAGTCGGATTGAAATTTGGTTTGCAGATTAGGATTCCTGAGAAAATTCTACCCTTAATTCATAACTCATAAGTTAAATTATGAGAACTTTTTATTTTGACCTACTTTACGGACACCATATCTCAAAAGTGGGTCAAAATACTTTCTGACGGCAAAAGGCTCTCACTATTAGCACACTCTTTGCTACCTGTATACAAAATTTTGAAGCAAATCCTAAAAGTGTAGTTCCAGAATCGCAAAAATAAGGAAAAAATATGAATTTGACCTAGATTTTGACCTAGGCATTTTGGTGTCCGAATATTGAAACTAGGTAGCTTTTGAGGTCCCCTTCTTTTATAGGAATTCATTATCCTAAGCTGTACTCAATCTATATCTCGTATTTTACACTTCAAAAAAATCTTTTTTCCTTGACTTTCGATCAGGATACCATCAGATCGATTTTTCGAAATTTCAAAACGCCATAACTTCCGAACCGGGAGTCTGATGGAAATTTGATTTAAAGATTCGGATTCCTGACAAAATTCTACCCCTAATTCATAACTCATACGTTAAATTTGGCGAATTTTTATTTTGACCTACTTTTCGGACACGCCATAACTTTGGAACCGGAAGTCAGATAGAAATTTGGTTTGCAGATTCGGATTCCTGGGAAAATTCTACCCTTAATTCATAACTCATATGTTAAATTTGGAGGATTTTTTATTTTGACCTACTTTTCGGACACCATATCTCAAAAATGGGTCAAAATACTCTCTGACGGCAAAAGGCTAACACTATTAGCACACTCTTTGCTACCTGTATACAAAATTTTGAAGCAAATCCTAAAAGTGTAGTGCCAGAATCGCAAAAATAAGGAAAAACTATAAATTTGACCTAGATTTTGACCTAGGAATTTTGGTGTCCAAATATTGAAACTAGGTAGCTTTTGAGGTCCACTTCTTTTATAGGAATTCATTATCTTAAGCTGTACTCAGTCTATATCTCGTATTTTACACTTCAAAAAAATCTTTTTTCCTTGACTTTCTATCAGGATACCATCAGATCGATTTTTCTCGAAATTTCAAAACGCCATAACTTCCAAACGGGAAGTCGGATCGAAATTTGGTTTGCAGATTCGGATTCCTGAGAAAATTCTACCCTTATTCCATAGCTCATATGTTAAATTTGGAGAACTTTTTTAGTTTGACCTACTTTCCGGACGCCATATCTCAAAATCGCTAAGAGTAATTAAAAAACGGATGGCACACTCTCGATTTGTTTTTTTCTAAGCTACATGATGAAAAAAAGATGAAGGAGTAAGGACAATCAACAATGAAGATAATTGACATAATAATGATTTGACCTAAATTTGACCTAGTTCTTGACCTTTGACCTAGATACAAATTTGACCTAATTTCCCAGAAACTAGGTTGATGGGATAATTTAGCCATGTAAGTGGGTTAAAGTAAGTTCTTCTAGTTGCTGAGAAAAAGTGTTCGGAAAGAAAGAAAGAAAGAAAAATAATAATAATAATAAGAAGAAAACTGGCAAAAGCAATAGACTCCAGATTTTCATCTGGAGTCTAATAAATATTGATATCATAGGATTAGCCGAAACACACCTAATTGATGATGCAATTGTGGATTCAGTTGGATATACATGGTATGGTCATAACCGTTCACATAACGTCAGAGCGCGTTCTGGTTGCACGTGCATTATGAAGTTCCACTTCATTATTCTATTTTTTCTATTTCAGTTTACTATATTTCAGATAAATGATGCCAGGAAAGAGGCAAAAAGCTTAGTATACTTAAATGAAACCTGGTGTAATCAAAATCACTAACACAAGTTTTTATGGCAGGCATAATAAAAATTGATTATGAACTAATTAAATGTGTTTGACGGTATGCAGTTGAATATATAAGGGTTATGTACTGGGAGGTTTTGGATACAGGTTTTATCCCAAGGGAAATAGACAATTAAATAGACAATTCTGTTGTCTTCTGAACATTTATTCAAAAATATGTACATTTTCTTAAACATATGATACTGATAAACGTTTGTGTAAAAAATGTCGTGGAAATTCTGCTTACAACGTGTGAAATAAGGAAAAAAGAAAAATCGTACCTTCGATGTTCCGACATTTTGTTACCAAAACGAACTGTTTCTGTAACCAGCATAATCGAGTGGAACACCAGTGTTATTATAGTGTCGGCGCACCGAAAGTGGATGAATGGACAGGGAATGTCGAAATTAAATTCACATTCTGATGTGCATTATGCTATTGCGTGGGATCACTGATCAGATGGGTTTTATGTAATCCACTTATTATTGTTCTTGTAAGATTAAAGGCAAAATATACTACATGTCACAAAAGTGCAAGGATGAACAATTCACCTGTGAATACATTTCAGACAATGTATCTCATATACAAGAGTATTGTACAGTCATTCAAAGTTTTGAACATTGAATCCTATTGAGAGGTGATTTAAAGGATTTTACGTATTGCAGGTTTTCCAAAGTCATTTCCATGTGTGATATTGTCAATTCAAGACACAAGACCACAAGACACACCTTTTATATTCTTATAAAAATAAATTATGATTTACTCTTCCACAGGTTTCATTTTACAAATGCACTTCCCGGGTTGAACACTCAATATAGAATGCAACCTGTGTGAATAGAATGCAACCTGTGTGTATACAATGTACAGGGCGTTCAATAAGTACTGATAAAATGATGTGACTTTTTTAATCTCCCCCTAAAACTAAAGACAATATTTGGCTTCTGACAACCGGCGAATTATAGAAAACAAACGGCGATTTTGGACTCTTGCCCCCTGCTATTGAAAGCCCAGGTACAAGGGCCCAAGGTCAAGCAGGGCACTCATATTAAATATGTTTGTTCTTCAACTGCTAGGTTTATTGAAACATTTTTTCAGGCATGTGAAGGGGACAAACATGTAGCGACTGTGGAGGAGAAGGTAGAGATTTGTGAAGTTCGCTTCCTTGGCTCAATTCCAGCGTCAGGTGTGTTTTGATATGATAGTACTAAACAAATATTTCAAAAAGACCTTAGTTAAGCTTAGTTAGATTAAAAATAAAGATTTCACCTAACTAAATTGTGCCTGTTTTTTCTCAAAGGACAGTGCTGCTTTAGACGATTATGTTAGAGCTGTTAATGACAGCAAATCATATTCATATTTGTTTGCATGTCTACAGAACTCGGATGAAAATACTTCTAGATGGCATGCATTCATCGAAATTTGCAAAGATGCTGGGATAGAAACCAATAAAAAAGGTCAATCGGTATTATAACAAATGAATACGAATTCTGAAAAACATTTCAAATATATTTGGCTTCGACTTCTTTGTTTGAGAGGTACACGAAATGTTGGAACATGGGCTCTATCAGGTGGTAGAGCCCATGGTTGGAATAAAAATCACGGTCGGTCCCGGGGTTGGTCCAATTTCAATGTACAATCTACAGATCGACGTAGGCCCATAACTTACTAAATAATTATTTGTCCTCATTGCGATATCGGCCTTCTGAAAGATTATATTTTATCATGATCAGTGAAACTTTAATGTGTAGATGCAACAAGTAGCACCGGCGCCGGGATAGTGCGAATGATATACATCCAAGTATTAAAAAATTATGACTTGTCAAACCTTTGGCTATCACTTTGATATCTCTTAATAAATATATATATATATTTTGGTAATTTCTGACTTATACATCAGGGGCCGTGAATTTGTACGATCCGTGATCCGATCCGGATAAATTTTATCTTCTAGGATAAATCTTGGATTACTAATCCAGATTATAATTTGGTGAATTCATATGATCCCAATCACAGGATTGTCTATCTTTCTGCAAAGTCTGATTTTCCCAGTATGCATCTCGCTGCGCATGCGTAGATGTTCACTGGTGGATCGCGGTTAGTTCAAACACTTTTTAGCGTCATTGAAAGGATACAAAATGGCGGCTATGTATGTGATTTATAATTTGGAGGAAAAAACCAACTAACTGAGTTGGTATTAGAAAAATTCGATCTCTTATTTGGCAAATTTACCGCCAATATATCAAAAGTATCAAAGCAGCAAGCTTGGGAACAAATCACCCAAAGGGTAAACATGTTAGGATATCCTCCTAAAAACCACTTCATCACTCCAAACTCTTTGGAAGAATCTTAAGGCAACCGCCAAGAAGAAGTACATGGAACAGAAGAGATCTACGGCTAAAACGGGGGAGGCCCCCTCCACAATTGTTTGTGGAACCTCATATCGCAAAGATTATGTGCAATTCCCAAGATACACCATTGTGGTGTGGTGTCGGGGGCTCCGAAAATGAGCTAGTTTGAGAGAAAGGTGCGTGTTTAGCCTTTAATATTTCGGGTTTTCGGCTGTAGTTTGCGACCATGTGTCTGTACTATCTAATGTGAATATTTGTCTTTACATCGATGCTAATTGGTAGTTGTCGCTAAAGGTCACAGGTCATTCAATCTCATTGGTTAAACATGCTTTGCTAATCCTCCACTATATAACTATGGAAACTGTAAAGTGTACATCCCGGGGTGATAATAGCGAGCACTTGTCTCCATAAGAAACATGTTAAAGACTAGCTCTGCCACGGAGATTGAGTAAATGATAAAGTCTTATAGTATTTATGGGCCAATGAGGAGGGAGGTATTTTTGAGGCATTACTATATGTACTAAAACATGTTTTATATGTCTCTATGATTA